AGAGAATGCTTATAGTTTGAACATCTCCTTATAGATAGTCCATGTTCCCTTCCCTATTTTGAGAGTCCAGATGATCATTGAGTGGATGATGCTATGTTTATCATTTACCTCAGGAAATATTTGAATTCCTGATCATCTCTGAGGATAGGAAAAAAATTGAGGATTAATTTAGGGGATATTAAAACTATTCAATTCTTGAACACATGGATCAATGTGATTGGTTTTGTCAGTCACTGAATTAGAAGAAGCAGCACATACAGCATACATTGTGGCATGAAAGAGAATGAGTTTTTGTGTGGGATGTCACATAATGCCTCTGTGGATAATCAAATAAAGGAGGGTTAGTAGTGATGAACTGAGAAAAAGAAGATGGGATGTAGTATTGCTCTGTGGTAGATGGGGCCAGCCTGGTAGGGTGAGAGGAGGAGACTTGGCATTTCACAGAGACAGATGCTTGAATGGATTTTGCAGGTGGTTTTATGTTAGTTCATGGTGGGCTTATTGGCAGATCTTTCCCTTGGCTCTTTTAGTTCAATCCTGGATCGAGATGACACTATGTGTCTCTGCTGGCAATATACATAAAATGACCTTGCTCACCTTTCCAGTATTTTTCCATATACATTAGGATATGTATATATATATTTTAAATTTTATCTGATTTTAATGTAGCATGTTTTTGTTTTTGTTTAAATTTTTAGAGAGCCACTTTATGGATGAAATTTCCTTGATGCTGTTATGCATCAGCCATCAAAATGCCAGAGTAAGAATAGAAATTTAGTTCTCTTCTCTTTTTTGACTTAACTTAAAACATCACATGTAGTACCAAACTAATAAAAGCTAACACTTATTTGAGTGGTCATGGAGTGTCAATGTCTTGAGTGTTTTGCATAGTTTGGTGTTTTAATTCTCACAACAATCCAATTAAGTGAGAACTATAATTGTCCCCATTTTGCAAATGAAGAAAAGAATATATGGAGTTGTCAATAACTATCCTGAGGCTACTCAGGAGGTAGCCAAGGTAGGATTTGCACCCATGCCTCTGCCTCCAGAACCCATGCTCCTAACCATCACACCCCTTTCTGTTGTACAGTTTTCTCTAGGCTGAATGCTTCATTGCAAAAACTATTTTCTATTGCTATCAAGCACAAACTGAGCCAAAAGCTCTTTTGCCAAGATGTATAAAATCATAACTTGAAACTGTTTTTCTGTGTTCTCCGCTTTTTACTAGTAGGAGAATAGGAGACCTTAGTTTTTATTTTAATTAGTAACATTGAAATATTTTAAATAGAATCTGTGGTGGCAGCTGTGTATTCTCACTTTGACTTGAAAACTACATTCATTTATATCCTTTTAGTCTTTGGAAAGAAATTTATTGTCCATTATAGCTGCTACTGCTCTGAACCCTTTTGATAATTGTTCATGCAAGAGTCTGTTCTCTCTCCTTTGAGAAAATAACAATGGCATACTGTACTTCACAGGTGCAAAAATGAAATGATTTGCTCCATCATTTAGTTTGCTTAATTTACAGCTTTTTATGTTTAATTATGTCTATTGTTCATAGATTGGATATTGAGGATCCAACAAAGATGATATTTGAATCAGCTTTGTAATGTCATTGAGTAGGTCTTAACACTGCAGGATACTTAAGTCTTTTCTCCAATTGTGACAGTTTGGATATCCTCAGGGGTTCCGAGCTGTCTTCAATTATGCCAGCTGTCTGAATGTGGAATGTAAAACTACTATTACAGTGGGGAATTAAATATTATTTGGCCCAATTTTACCTTTCTATTCAACAGTGAATAGCATGTGCCTGTATATACACTGAAAGTAGACTGTAGTGTGATGTGCTAACGTTCTGTGGATACAGTTTTTCTTTAAAAGCATATATGATTGAGAGAGATACCCATCTGTCACTAATAAGTTGAGTAACCTTGGGTATGCTTCTTTATCTCTCTGATTTCTATTTCTTCGCCTATAAAATGAAAGCATTATTTTAAATCTTTTGGAAGCCATTTGACATAGAATCATGCAGGTCTTATTATTTGGGGAATTTTATTGTTCTCTTCTTCACTTCCCTGCTCTGATTACTTAAGGGAGCCTCAGCCTCACATAAGTCTCACCTCATGACTATGGTTTCTGCAAAGATGAGCAGCTATAGCAAGATCACTGTAATCTCAAACTTCTCCCTACTCCGTTATCCTCAGAAATGCATGTTTCCTGAGAGCTTTTTTAGAAACCAGTCAGAATGAAATTTGCAAAAATATCAGATTTTTCTTTTGGGAACTGGTGTACAGCCAGATTTCAGCTGACTGTTTAAGGTATGGTTCTCATTTGGGAGAGCTTCATATAGTACTTGCAAATAGGAGTTTTAGGTGATATCCTGACTCTAAAGGATGGGGTGGTGGTGACTTTCTTGAGCCCACCAATCCTTCTAGCTTATATATGAATGCCATCCTAGGTATGCATATTTTATTATATAATTTCCTTTATCACTAGACACAGACAAGGGAGAACTAGAAATTGGGGGTGGGATAAAATTTTAGAGGAGTAAGAAGACACTGTGGGACACTTATTGTCTAGGACCCTAAATATTCTTCTAGTTAGTCATTGGACATGGCCATATTTGGACCTGGATGAATATCAGTTATTTTTATTGATTGATTTAATAAACAAAAATTTGTTGTGCACTCAGCATGTGTCAGGCACTGTTCTGGGCTCTTGAAACATAGATGCAAACAAGGAAGACAACGCCTCTGTCCATATAAGACTTAAACCAAAAAGAGTTTAACACCGAGAATTTGAGCTTACTTTCACCTGAGCATTATCTTTATGCCTATTTATGTAATTCTCTCCTTCACTTTGCACTTTTTGAGTCTTGAAATTCTATCTTGCCATGAAAGCCAAATAGATAGTGCAAAGTTTCAGTATACTGGACAAAACATTATTATGTTATCGCCTCTTGCTTCCTGATACGGTGGTAATAATTATGATTGGGGAAGATTAGGGTAAAGCTTCTGCACCAAGCATAGTGCTGACCTAAGGCAGTAATGCAATAAATAAGTTAATAAATGAAAAATATTGGCTGAACCTAAATTTGGTCTGTCTTCAGCCTTGGTTGTAGTGGAGAGTAATTGGGAATGAGTGGATGCATGTGTAGTTCTTTCTAGTATCATGACTAGAAGGTAGTAGAGGAATATCTACTGTGTTTTAGGAAAGAGGAGACCTTGGAAGTAGGAGTAAATTCAAGATACAGCACAAATCAACTCAGAAATTCCACCATTTGGCAGTTGAGGAAATTTGAGCCAAAAGGTTTTCAAATAATTTGTCAGAATTATACAGAAATTCACTGGGCAGTTTTTGGTGCTGGAGGGTTGAAGTGATGGTATTTAGCCTCCTCAACTTTCCAGCTTTAAGAGGGAAGTCCTCAACTTTAACCCAAAGAATCTCTGTTCCTTGCTTATTTCTCTGTGGTAATGTCTTATGGGACTCCTGTGGCATATTTTTCTGCTTATTCTTTGGGTGAGTTTCTTTAGGGCAAATCCTCTGGATACCCTCCAAGCCCTGCATTATTTCTAGAGGGAAAAAAATAAAAGGGAAAGAGATGATAATCATTGGAAATTCTTAAGGATAATCCTCCCCATTCAAGATTTGGCCTTACTCCTTCTTGGCATTATATATGGGTGGGAAATATTGATGTGTGCATTTAGCTTTTTTGGCCTTTGAGATGTTTCACTGAGCATAATGTGGCACTAATCACGATGCTCTGCCCAGCACAGATGTATCTAACCTGCTATCTGTGCACCTGGGAACTGGAAAGGTGATGCACTCAGCATTCTATTATAAGCTTATTTCTCTAGGCACTTCAAAAGTGATGAATGAAAAAGTCTCTTCTGCCACCTGAGGCATCCTTTTACTGTTTCATTGGTTTTTTAAAGATAATCAATAGGAAATACTCTCAAAACACTCTATGTCTGAAGTTCAGACTACTAGATTTTCATAAGTTTAGGTAGCTCTGCCCGACCATAATGCTCTTTAACTTCCACTTGTAATCATATTGAAAACGTACATGACCACATTACTTATGCCTCAAAGCTATCTCAGTGAATATTTTATCCTCATTCATTTAACAGTCAATGCTAACTCTCTGTCAGACATTGGGAGGAAAAATAAAATGTCTTTAAGAAGGACACATTTTTGGAAAGAATGCAGAAAAAGAAAATAATTGAAGTACAATGTCATTAACAGTATCATAGAGTTATATACTGAATATTATAGGTTTAATATGGCACAGCAGATGTTCATGATGATTGTCCTATTTCATTAGAATATGGTTAAATATTTTCAAGATTCTTGATTGAAAGGTTAGGGTGTATCAAATGCATTATAGAAGGAATTACTTTAAAATGTGTTAAAGGGATATGTTTGAATTCTTGGAACTGTCATATTTCAAATGTTTTCTTTTGTAAAAATTTCTTATTCATGAAGAATTTTGTTTATACTCTGCTATAAACAAATTTACATTTTCTGGTAGATAGTATATGTTTGGTAGATGCCTAATGAATGATTGAATAGTTCTTTATATGAAAAAAATACCACTGTCAGAGTTTGATTATAAAATTATAGCATAAATGATTCACAGGGAGTTTAAACCCAACTGTAATTTGGTTACTAGATAGAGACATTGACTTAGGTGGTCTGTGCACAGAACTAATAAGGCCAAGATCAAATTTTCCTTCTTTGTTTGAGCAAGTTAAGTTTGTGTTGTGAAAGACAGTGGGGCAAAGATGTTTGGGGATTTACCTAAAACAATCTTGTTCTGCAGAACATTAGATAAAATTTTAGAAAATTGAAAAGAGTCAGAACTCTAAAAGTTAAAGTAATAAGAACAAAGGCAAAAACAGGGGAAAATAGGCTTTTCCTCCCTGGCTCTCTAACGATAGGCAGCCATCACGAATGACACAGTAACTATCCACACTAGAAAGTTCATGACCAACCTACTACTTCAGAGGAAATAAATGGTCATTGATGTCTTTCACCCTGGGAAGGCAACAGTGCCTAAGACAGAAATTCGGGAAAAACTAGCCAAAATGTGCAAGATCACACCGGAAGTTATCTTTGTATTTGGATTCAGAACTCATTTCGGTGGTGGCAAGACAACTGGCTTTGGCATGATTTATGACTTTCTGGATTATGCAAAGAAAAATAAACCCAAACATAGACTTGCAAGACATGGCCTGTATGAGAAGAAAAAGACCTCAAGAAAGCAACAAGAGGGATGCAAGAACAGAATGAAGAAAGTCAGGGGGACTGCAAAGGCCAATGTTGGTGCTGGCAAAAAGCCAAAGGAGTAAAGGTGCTGCAATGATGTTATCTATGGCCGTTCTGGATTTTGCAGAAGAAGCTTAATAAACTAAAAACTTTCATGTGTTAAAAAAAAAAAAAAAAAGGAAAAAACAGAATGTGCCTTTTTCCTTATCAGGAGAAGCCTCAAATCACAGTACTCACTTTGTACTTGCCTGCCCATACCACCTTCCAGAGAAACTGTCTACCTACAGGCACAGCCATCTCAATGGATAGGTGTCGTTTGGGCCACTTCCCTGTCCATAGTTGACTAGATCTGGGTGGAATTTTGACCCAAGAACAGCTAACCCATTCTTCTATATGTGACCTGGCCCCAGAATTTGAGCTCAGTGTATCTGTGTAAACAGAGAGAGTAAAACTGTAAGGAGTAGGAACAGAATCAGCAGTTATAGTTGAAATTACAAAAGAGAAATCACAAGAAAAAGAGCCCAGTTTTACAGGAAGAACAGAGACCCAGTGTGAGACCCAAACAGCCCATTAGACACGCAAAGGGACAGAGTTACCAAAGCTCCTGAAGGTTGTGTTAGTGTCTGTGTCCTTCAGATTGTGACCACACCAACACGCACTCACAGACACAAGATTTTTGTTGTTGTTAGAGGTGACTAAAGTGACTTTGTTCTTTGCAGCACACCCAAAGAGCCAATTAAAATATTTACAAATGCTAATTTATTGCTGTTAGGAGACTAGGTGGAATTAATTAAAAAGATGTATAGGTTAGAGCATCACTAGCAGAATATATAAAGGAACAAAAAGTATTCAAATCCCTTCTAATTGCCCTCTGCCTTTATATCTACTCCTGCCTAGGTCAGGCGACCTCTGAAAACTGTCCATCAAACTCTGGATATATCACTATAATGGCAATCAATATAGCTCTGAAATTCTCTCTGAATGGGACTTTATGTCAGTATTCTCCACTAGACTGTAGGCTTTTAGTGTTAAGTTTGTGATAATTTATTCTTCCTATTTTGGTGTCTGTAGTACCACCAAAAGGTTCTGAGTATGTTCTTGAAGCATGCTTGCTGAAAAAAATTGTGCCTGCACATAGGAAGGATGCTCTTTATTATTAAATAAACTGATTTAAATACTTTTTTTAAAAAATCAACCATAGGTATATGTAACCACTCAAAAGTGAATAGCTAATATGTGATAGAGCTGTGGTATACCTCACTGACCTTACAGCTACATAAAAAATATTTTAAAATAGCCAAGAGCGGTGGCTCAAGCCTGTAATCCCAGCACTTTGGGAGGCCGAAGTGGGTGGATCACGAGGTCAAGAGATCGAGACCATCCTGGTCGACATGGTGAAACTCCGTCTCTACTAAAAATACAAAAAATTAGCTGGGCATGGTGGTGTGTGCCTGTAATCCCAGCTACTCGGGAGGCTGAGGAAGGAGAATTGCCTGAACCCAGGAGGCGGAGGTTGTGGTGAGCCAAGATCGTGCCATTGCACTCCAGCCTGGGTAACAAGAGCAAAAACTCCATGTAAAATAAATATATATATATATATATATATATATAGTGAATTGCAATTATATTTAATTTCCACATAATTCCTGATCAACTTTTATACTGTCAACTGAAAAACGTCAATAAAGTTGAAAGTAAGTATGCTGTTGAGACTCCTTTTACCACTTACAAATTAGTGTTTAGATTTCCTTCTCTGCACCAGAGTTTGATATTTGGATTTTACTGCTTCTGTTGTGGTAACCTCTATTACTTTTATGCTAGTGCCTCAAACAAAAGTCCTGTTAGTCTTCAGAGTAAATAAGCTTTTCACACAGTAACTGGGCTATGCAGAGGTGTGCTGTACCAGGAAGTGGCTACTGCCCAGACACTTCTCTGTTTTAATTATAAGGTCCTTGGTAGGGTTAGTGGAGCTTATCCCTTTATGGCAAGCAGCACGCATGTGAAGCCTGTCTTGATTTTCAAAAAAGCATCTGGCTCAGCAGTTCTTGGCTCTTCCTTTCAATGTCAAGTTTGACATATTTGCATATGAAACATGCAGATATTTTAGAATAACTCCTGTATCCAGAAAATTATGCACTTTAAGGATAGTCAGGAGCAAGGCACATCTAGAATTTAAAAATTTCATCTAAAATTTCATGTAATAGTCTTTCTATTGGGAACATTGTTTCCCTCTACAAAGAGAATTTATAAAGCATATTTATTTAATCCATAATTACAATATTTGTAAAACCTTTAAATGTGAATTGTTCCATTAATTGTTACTTTTTCAATTACATTTTCATGACTTAATAATCCATAAAGTGGAAAAAACATTATGCACTTGATCTTTTTGACTGCATTATTTCATTTTATTTTTTATCTGTTTTTATTGAGGTAAATGCAAATAAAAACACTGATTATCAGTGAAGAATTTTAACAAAAATGTCTTATGATGGGGTAACAAATTCCTAACTAATCACTAGGACAGTGTGTATTAATATGAGAAAGAAAACCAAAATAAATTATTTAGTAATGAAGGAGAAAGAGGACAATCAGAACAATGTTATGAAGTTTTCAGTAATTTATTACAATATTTAATGTTAGCATTTTGTCAGTAGGCTCTCTTGAATTAGTACATTTTTATTTTTAGTGATATGTATACCACAGATGTGTCTCTAAATTGCAAATATCTTTATATCTCCATAAATGCTCATGATAAAGGCATGACATTTTCAAAATTTTCCAAAGATATTTTTTCTATAAAATGTTTTAATAATAAACATGTAATGTTAGTTTTCCTACTGTTGTTAGCAGATTCAGCTAACACTATAAATATTTTTAAGTAGATGTGTCAAGAATACTACTATTGCACTATGTAATGTATTGGTAATATTTTAAAAAATTGTTTCACAAAATGAACAGCTGTTTTTCATTTGTATTTTATGTTTAAGAGTTCAATTACAGAAGAAACATGTCAAAGGAAAATTATTGAACTCTAAGAAGTTATTATTGATAATAACAGCTGCCATTTACTGAGAGTTTACCCTATGCCACATTTCTTATTAATGCTTGACATGCAGCAGATTGTTTTATCCTCATAACAAACCAGTGAGATTGCTGCTATTATTCCCATTGCATAAAAGATGTAACAGGTGTGGGATATTGTAAGCATCTGGCCAAGATCACTTAGCTTGTAAATAGTGGCTTGAGTATTAAAACAGGTCGGATTAATGCCAAACCTTAGGCTCTTAACCACTCTACTGTATTTTAGAAACTTCTTAATGGTGATATTTTTAAAAATATAAATGATTTGATGAATTTGTGGTACTTTACAATGGATTAGAGTAAGTAAAAAATATGTCATTGAAGTATGAATAAATATTTCTAAACAATATCTACATTAGATTTTACTTCACATCACTGTTTTTTAAAAAACTCTCTTTTAGACGTTTCATTCTCTATATATTTAACCCACATTTTTCTACAGAAGATAGTTTTAAATGCTTAAAAGGTTGGCTTTGGAATGAATATAGTCTAATATTTTAAAAGAATAAAAATTGATTATAATAAACATGTTTATATCATTCACTGTTAATTATTTTTTCCAGATTTCTACTGAATTTTAATTTTTTGGCTTGTATTGTTAGACCATTCAAGTACCATAAAAAATAAAGATAATTCTGACTCTTAATCAGATTAAGATTCTGAAGTTTCATTATGTAATAAAGATAAAGTGAAGATTTATGTGCTTTTGTTGTTAAGGGCAATTTTTTTAAAAAAATCTCTGGAATAGTTATTAAACTACTTTATGGTTTATACAACTCTCTATTAACTGAGATGTTTTGTTAACTAAACTCCTATTATGTATGAAAGAGATGTAAGGCTTATTGTTTTGCTACATAGCCACAGAATTTTCAAATATTTGTGTTTTAGTTTAATGAAGTGGTTTTTTCTTTTATTTCTAGACAATATAATCATGTAGCCTTCTTTTCATATCCATCCCGTTTTTAAATATTTTCTTTTCTAACTCCTACACTCATGTTTGGCAGCATACATACCCCTTATTCACAGAAGCCACTCTATAGGCATAGAAGTCTCTTAATTTTTCCCATCTGTGAGGGAAAATTACTATGGAAACACCTCCTTTCCTTTTACCTTCTAATCTGAGGAGGAATTATTCCTGTTTTCCTTCAGTTTCCTGTTCATTTAGTACCAAAGCCTTCTTTATCTCTCCCTAACATTACACAATTATGTCTATTATTTAACTTTTTATGTATATTCTCTCAGCTTATAAATTTCCTCATAACTTCCCTATCTTTAAATTCCTTCCCTTATGCTTCGGCTGAAAGGAAACTTTTGGTTTCCTTAAAGCTACTCTCTCATATCTCAACTGCCCTTCTTCAGTAGCAAGTTGTAGACACAGTGATCTTCAGTTTTTCTTCTGTAATTACCACCCACTCCTCCCTTAGTCTTTTATTATCTGGCTGCTACCCCGGCACTACAGTGCAGTTGTTTCTCTAAAAGTCATTGCTTCCCTCTAAATAGCCAAATCCAGCTTCTTAATCTCTGCTTTCATTGTACTTAACCACGCAGAAGCCTGTGTCATTACTACTCACCTGAGAGTCTTCCGCATTCAGTAAGCATTTTTTTTTTTTTTTTTTTTGAGAGGGAGTCTCTATCTGTTGGCCCAGCTTGGAGTGCAGTGATGCAATCTCTGCTCACTGCAACCTCCGCCTCCCAGATTCCAAGAATTCCCTGCTTTAGTCTCCCAGGTATCTGGGATTGCAGGTACCAGTCAACCATACCTGGCTATTTTTTATTTTTAATTTTTAGTAGAGATGGGCTTTTACCATTTTGGCCAGGCTGGTCTTGAACTCCTGACCTCATGATCCACCCACTTTGGCCTCCCAAAGTGCTGGGAATACAGGCATGAGCCACATCACTCGGCCTCAGTAAGCATTCTTTAGGTGTTTATTAGGTGGCAGGGCTTAGGGTTTAGAATATGGCTAATGCCCGCATATGTCAACCTGGAGTTTCTATTTAAATGGAGGAGACAGATACAAAACCAATTACCGTACCAGGAGCTGAGTGCTCTAACACAACTGTGTGCCAAGTAAGACACTGTGGGACAAAGAGTGGAGAAAATTTCAGAGGAAGTGACATTTGAAAGAATTAGTGGAGAGTGAGAATTCCAGGCATGTTAAGTTCTCTTGTACTACACAAGGGAGCAGAGAATTGAGAACAAGTACAGCATGTTTGGAAATAGTGAGTGAAGTTATAACACTTGGGGAAGTGGTAGGGGTGAGTGTATGGTGGAATTTGGAAATGGTTTAGGATTGAATTGTCCAGATTTAAAACTTTTTTCTATTGCCTTTGTTCCTTCCCTTTGTTGCTGCCTCTGTTTTTTTCTATGTTGACTCCTATTTTTCAGACAATTTTCTTCAAAAAGAGTTATTCTATTATATGAAGTCATTCTATGTTCTGTCCCAGGTGATATTATCTATTTTGTGTCTTCAAACATTGTATTTTTCACATTGCAATTTTCTAAAATCTTCCTGTCTCTGATGACCTCTCTTCTGAGTACCAAATATGAATTTTTTTCCTTTTCTGTGTGTCACTTCAGCTCAAACCCGATATGGTAAAAATAAAACAGAGCACTGTATATTTATGATTTTGCTCTTTCTAATTTTTTATTTCATTCCATAATCTCCACCTTCCCTTTGGTTACCAAGTGGGGAGGCATTATATTAATTTTTACTTCCTCTGCTTGGATGACTCCTAACATCCAATCAGTCATTTTCTTAAAATACTCATTGTGTCTTCCGATCCCTATTTTCATATTCATTTAGTTTATGCCATCACGTTTTGCCAGCACTAGTATTTAAGTATTTTAATGATAATTTCATCACTTGCAGCCTCTTCTCCAGTCTACTTTTTATAGCAGAGCTAAAATATCATTTAAGTAAGTATAGCTAAATGTATTTAATAAGTTATAGTCTAAGTTTTTTTAATCTTCCATATTATTCAATTATCTACAGAATAAAACCCAACTTTGACATGGTCCAGGCCTGAAGCTATTTATAATCTTGTTATAAATCTTTCCAATTCTAAAATTCCCCACATAAGTACTCTTACTTGATATGGCATTAATTCATTGATTGATAGATGCAACCTTCCATTAAAATTTTAATGCTCCTTGGGTTGACCATAGGTATCTCTGTTATTTGGAGATTACAATTACGTGAGATAGATTTATTTGACTGTAAGTACCTAAAAGACAGAGACTTGACTATATTTACAATTAACTACTTTCAAGAAGGTTGGGAACATAATGTGGTTCAAATATTTATTATTTAGTACCTCCATCCTTAACTGCCTTATAATTTTAATAGCAATGAAACAGAGATGTTGGCCAGGTATGGGGGCTCACGCCTATAATCCCAGCACTTTGGGAGTTTGAGGCAGGCAGATCACGAGGTCAGG